TTTCCTGTCTCACATTCAGGTCCTTGATCCATTTTGAGTTTATTTTTGTGAATGGTGTGAGAAAGTGGTCTAGTTTCAACCTTCTGCATGTTGCTGTCCAGTTCTCCCAGCACCATTTGTTAAAGAGACTGTCTTTTTTCCATTGGATGTTCTTTCCTGCTTTGTCAAAGATGAGTTGGCCATACGTTTGTGGGTCTAGTTCTGGGGTTTCTATTCTATTCCATTGGTCTATGTGTCTGTTTTTGTGCCAATACCATGCTGTCTTGATGATGACAGCTTTGTAGTAGAGGCTAAAGTCTGGGATTGTGATGCCTCCTGCTTTGGTCTTCTTCTTCAAAATTACTTTGGCTATTCGGGGCCTTTTGTGGTTCCATATGAATTTTAGGATTGCTTGTTCTAGTTTTGAGAAGAATGCTGGTGCAATTTTGATTGGGATTGCATTGAATGTGTAGATAACTTTGGGTAGTATTGACATTTTGACAATATTTATTCTTCCAATCCATGAGCAGGGAATGTCTTTCCATTTCTTTAAATCTTCTTCAATTACCTTCATAACCTTTCTATAGTTTTCAGCATACAGATCCTTTACATCTTTGGTTAGATTTATTCCTAGGTATTTTATGCTTCTTGGTGCAATTGTGAATGGGATCAGTTTCTTTATTTGTCTTTCTGTTGCTTCACTGTAAGTGTATAAGAATGCAACTGATTTCTGTACATTGATTTTGTATCCTGCAACTTTGCTGAATTCATGTATCAGTTCTAGCAGACTTTTGGTGGAGTCTATCGGATTTTCCATGTATAATATCATGGCATCTGCAAAAAGCGAAAGCTTGACTTCATCTTTGCCAATTTGGATGCCTTTGATTTCCTTTTGTTGTCTGATTGCTGATGCTACAACTTCCAGCACTATGTTAAACAACAGCGGTGAGAGTGGGCATCCCTGTCGTGTTCCTGATCTCAGGGAAAAAGCTCTCAGTTTTTCCCCGTTGAGGATGATGTTAGCTGTGGGCTTTTCATAAATGGCTTTTATGATCTTTAAGTATGTTCCTTCTATCCCGACTTTCTCAAGGGTTTTTATTAAGAAAGGGTGCTGGATTTTGTCAAAGGCCTTTTCTGCATCGATTGACAGGATCATATGGTTTTTCTCTTTTTTTTTGTTAATGTGATGTATCACGTTGATTGATTTGCGAATGTTGAACCAGTCCTGCATCCCAGGAATGAATCCCACTTGATCATGGTGAATAATTCTTTTTATATGCTGTTGAATTCGATTTGCTAGTATCTTATTGAGAATTTTTGCATCCATATTCATCAGGGATATTGGCCTGTAGTTCTCTTTGTTTACTGGGTCTCTGTCTGGTTTAGGAATCAAAGTAATACTGGCTTCATAGAATGAGTCTGGAAGTTTTCCTTCCCTTTCTATTTCTTGGAATAGCTTGAGAAGGATAGGTATTCTCTCTGCTTTAAACGTCTGGTAGAACTCCCCTGGGAAGCCATCTGGTCCTGGACTCTTATTTGTTGGGAGCTTTTTGATAACCGATTCAATTTCTTCGCTGGTTATGGGTCTGTTCAAGCTTTCTATTTCCTCCTGATTGAGTTTTGGAAGAGTGTGGGTGTTCAGGAATTTGTCCATTTCTTCCAGGTTGTCCAATTTGTTGGCATATAATTTTTCATAGTATTCCCTGATAATTGTTTGTATCTCTGAGGGATTGGTTGTAATAATTCCATTTTCATTCATGATTTTATCTATTTGGGTCATCTCCCTTTTCTTTTTGAGAAGCCTGGCTAGAGGTTTGTCAATTTTGTTTATTTTTTCAAAAAACCAACTCTTGGTTTCGTTGATCTGCTCTACAGTTTTTTTAGATTCCATATTGTTTATTTCTGCTCTGATCTTTATTATTTCTCTTCTTCTGCTGGGTTTAGGCTGCCTTTGCTGTTCTGCTTCTATTTCCTTTAGGTGTGCCGTTAAATTTTGTGTTTGGGATTTTTCTTGTTTCTTGAGATAGGCCTGGATTGCAATGTATTTTCCTCTCAGGACTGCCTTCGCTGCGTCCCAAAGCGTTTGGATTGTTGTATTTTCATTTTCGTTTGTTTCCATATATTTTTTAATTTCTTCTCTAATTGCCTGGTTGACCCACTCATTCGTTAGTAGGGTGTTCTTTAACCTCCATGCTTTTGAAGGTTTTCCAGACTTTTTTCTGTGGTTGATTTCAAGCTTCATAGCATTGTGGTCTGAAAGTATGCATGGTATGATTTCAATTCTTGTAAACTTATGAAGGGCTGTTTTGTGACCCAGTATATGATCTATCTTGGAGAATGTTCCGTGTGCACTCGAGAAGAAAGTATATTCTGTTGCTTTGGGATGCAGAGTTCTAAATACATCTGTCAAGTCCATCTGATCCAATGTCTCATTCAGGGCCCTTGTTTCTTTATTGACCGTGTGTCTAGATGATCTATCCATTTCTGTAAGTGGGGTGTTAAAGTCCCCTGCAATTACCACATTCTTATCAATAAGGTTGCTTATGTTTATGAGTAATTGTTTTATATATTTGCGCGCTCCGGTATTCGGCGCATAGACATTTATAATTGTTAGCTCTTCCTGATGGATAGACCCTGTCACTATTATATAATGTCCTTCTTCATCTCTTGTTACAGCCTTTAATTTAAAGTCTAGTTTGTCTGATATAAGTATGGCTACTCCAGCTTTCTTTTGGCTTCCAGTAGCATGATAAATAGTTTTCCATCCCCTCACTCTCAATCTAAAGGTGTCCTCAGGTCTGAAATGAGTCTCTTGTAGACAGCAAATAGATGGGTCTTGTTTTTTTATCCATTCTGATACCCTATGTCTTTTGGTTGGCGCATTTAATCCATTTACATTCAGTGTTATTCTAGAAAGATATGGGTTTAGAGTCATTGTGATGTCTGTAGGTTTTATGCTTGTAGTGATGTCTCTGGTACTTTGTCTCACAGGGTCCCCCTTAGGATCTCTTGTAGGGCTGGTTTAGTGGTGACAAATTCCTTCAGTTTTTGTTTGTTTGGGAAGACCTTTATCTCTCCTTCTATTCTAAATGACAGACTTGCTGGATAAAGGATTCTCGGCTGCATATTTTTTCTGTCTAGCACACTGAAAATCTCGTGCCAATTCTTTCTGGCCTGCCAAGTTTCAAAAGAGAGATCCGTCACGAGTCTTATAGGTCTCCCTTTATATGTGAGGGCACGTTTACCCCTTGCTGCTTTCAGAATTTTCTCTTTATCCTTGTATTTTGCCAGTTTCACTATGATATGTCGTGCAGAAGATCGATTCAAGTTACGTCTGAAGGGAGTTCTCTGTGCCTCTTGGATTTCAATGCCTTTTTCCTTCCCCACTTCAGGGAAGTTCTCAGCTATTATTTCTTCAAGTACCCCTTCAGCACCTTTCCCTCTCTCTTCCTCCTCTGGGATACCAATTATGCGTATATTATTTCTTTTTAGTGTATCACTTAGTTCTCTAATTTTCCCCTCATACTCCTGGATTTTTTTATCCCTCTTTTTCTCAGCTTCCTCTTTTTCCATAACTTTATCTTCTAGTTCACCTGTTCTCTCTTCTGCCTCTTCAATCCAAGCCGTGGTGGTTTCCATTTTGTTATGCATTTCGTTTAAAGCGTTTTTCAGCTCCTCGTGACTGTTCCTTAGTCCCTTGATCTCTGTAGCAAGAGATTCTCTGCTGTCAGCTATACTGTTTTCAAGCCCAGAGATTAATTTTATGACTATTATTCTAAATTCACTTTGTTATATTATTTAAATCCTTTTTGATCAGCTCATTAGCTGTTGTTATTTCCTGGAGATTCTTCTGAGGGGAATTCTTCCGCTTGGTCATTTTGGATAGTCCCTGGCGTGGTGAGGACCTGCAGGGCACTTCCTCTGTGCTGTGGTGTATAACTGGAGTTGGTGGGCGGAGCCGCAGTCAGACCTGATGTCTGCCCCCAGCCCACCGCTGGGGCCACAGTCAGACTGGCGTGTGCCTTCTCTTCCCCTCTCCTAGGGGCGGGATTCACTGTGGGGTGGGGTGGCCTGTCTGGGCTACTTGCACACTGCCAGGCTTATGATGCTGGGGATCTGGCGTCTTAGCTGGGGTGGGTAGGCAAGGTGCATGGGGGCAGGAGGGGCAGGCTTAGCTTGCTTCTCCTTAGGTGATCCACTTCAGGAGGGGCCCTGTGGCAGCAGGAGGGAGTCAGATCCACTGCCGGAGGTTTGGCTCCGCAGAAGCGCAGAGTTGGGTGTTTGCGCGGAGCACGAGCAAGTTCCCTGGCAGGAACTGGTTCTCTTTGGGATTTTGACTGGGGGATGGGCGGGGGAGATGGCGCTGGCGAGCGCCTTTGTTCCCCACCAAACTGAGCTCTGTTGTCAGGGGGCTCAGCAGCTCTCCTTCCCTTTGTCCTCCAGCCTTCCCGCTTTCTGAGCAGAGCTGTTAACTTATGACCTCCCAGACGCTAAGTCGCGCTTGCTGTCGGAACACAGTCCGTCAGGCCCCTCCGCTTTTTGCAAGCCAGACTCGGGGGCTCTGCTTGGCCGGCGAGCCGCCCCTCCTCCCCGGCTCCCTCCCGCCAGTCCGTGGAGCGCGCACCGCCTCGCCGCCCTTCCTACCCTCTTCCGTGGGCCTCTCGTCTGCACTTGGCTCTGGCGACTCCGTTCTGCTAATCCTCTGGCGGTTTTCTGGGTTATTTAGGCAGGTGTAGGTGGAATCTAAGTGATCAGCAGGACGCGCGGTGAGCCCAGCGTCCTCCTACGCCGCCATCTTCCCTCTCCTCCAAGTTTGTATTTCTGTCACTGTTTTCTTTAAAACTATTCACACCTAAGATTTTCATGTTTTAAATTAAGGAAAAGAAGACAATTTATTTTCAACACTATTCCTAGCAAGAATGGTAGAAAACACTGGATTGACTAAGTCTTTAGGAGGCATCAAATCTTAATATTCATAGTTCTTTAAAGAATAGAGATAGTGTGTTATAATGTCCACATACCACTCAGTGCTCCAACAGCTCCAAAATTTAAGGATTTTCCATCCATTATGCTGGCATCACATTCAATTTCACCCAAGAGATTTAGATTAGATCCCATTCCTGCATTTGTAAATGGAGAATCCTAAGAGATAAAAACAAAAATCAAAATGTCATTAGTTTGTGGGGTTTTTTTAGTTTTTTATCTATTTTTTTGAGTAATCTCTACTCCCATGGTGGGGCACAAACTCATGACCCTGAGTTGTAGATACTCCTCTGACTGAGGCAGACAGATGCCCCTAAAATATAGTTATTCTTAAATAAAATTTAATGTCAGTCCTTTATAAACTGTTCCAAAAACTAGAAAGGGAAAGAATACTTCCCAACTCATTGTACAATACCAGTACTACCCTGATTCCAAAACAAGACAAAGACATCAATGAGGAAAGAAAACTACAGGTGAATATATCTTGAGAATATGGACACAGTATCCTCAAGAAGATAGTAGCAAACCAAATGCAGTAAAACATAAAGAAGTCTTATACACCATGAATAAGAGGGATCCCAGAAAAGTAAATTTGGTTTAATATGTGAAACTTAACGTGATACACCATGTTAATACAGAGGAAAAAAAAAAAAAAAAAGGATCATACCAATAAACATAGAAAAAGCATTTGATAAAATCTAATACCCTTTCATGAGAAAAGCACTCAACTAGAAACAGAATGGAACTTCCTTAACATGATAAAGGGCATCTACAAAAAGTCCAGAGTTAACATCATAACTAATGGTGAAAAACTGAATATTTTTTAAAAAACACATGTGCAAACCTATGCTTTTATTATATAAAAATATAGATAAATACACCGTGTTTTGCTGGTTAAGCCCCCCAAGGAGAGAGGGATGAGAAGGAAAGATTTGGAAGATCAATGGTAAATTTTATTTCTATGATTTGAATTTTCTAACAAAAAATTATTTGTGTATTCCCTAAAGATCAGGAATAATATAGCAAAGTTCACTCTTGTCAATTCTATTTAACATTATACTTGATATTCTGGACAAAACAATTAGGTAAAAGAAAGAAATAATGAGTGTCTAAATTGGAAAAGAAAAAGTAAAATTACCTCTTAGTTGAAGATAATAAAAAGTCCTAAGGACTTGACTAAAAACTATTAGGACTGATAAGTTCAACAGGATTTCAAGATACAAGATTAATGTACAAAAATCAATCATATTTCTACACATTAGCAATGAACAATATGAAGATGAAATTCAGAAAACAATTCCACTTACAATAACATCAAAAAGAATAAAATACTTAGGAAGAAATTCAAAAAAATAATTTTAAGATTTATATACTGAAAACTAAAAAACATCTTGAGAAAAAAATTAAAGAATACCTAAATAAATGGAAAGGCAGCCATGTTTATAGGTCAGAAGGCTTAATAGCTTTAAGAGTAATATTCTCCAAAACTGATCTGCTTCAACACATTCACCTATCAAATCCTACCTGCCTTTTTTCAGGCAGAAATTGACAAACTAATCCTAAACTTCATAGGGAACTGCAAGGGATGCAGAACCACCAAAACCACTTTGAAAAGAAAAAAACAAAATTGGAGGGCTCACACTTCTAGGTTTTTTTTAACTTACTACACAAATACAGCAATCAAGAGGTATACAGCAATATAGGGGTAATATAGGGGTGCCTGGCTGGCTTAGTCAGTGCAGCATGTGACTCTCCATCTTGGGGTCATGAGTTTGAGTCACACATTGGACATGGAACAACTTAAAAAAAAAAAAAAAAAATGGGGCGCCTGGGTGGCGCAGTCGGTTAAGCGTCCGACTTCAGCCAGGTCACGATCTCGCGGTCTGTGAGTTCGAGCCCCGCGTCAGGCTCTGGGCTCATGGCTCAGAGACTGTTTCCAATTCTGTGTCTCCCTCTCTCTCTGCCCCTCCCCCGTTCATGCTCTGTCTCTCTCTGTCCCAAAAATAAATAAACCTTGAAAAAAAAAAAAAATAAAAAAAAAAAAAAAAAAAGACGATGTGATATAAGCATGTAGCTAAGGACAGACATATAGATCAATGTAATAGGATTGACAGAAGCCTCACAGGGCCTGGGTGGCTCAATCGGTTAAGTGTCCAGCTTCGGCTCAGGTCATGATCTCACAGTTCATGGGTTCAAGCCCCGCCATCAGGCTCTGTGCTGACCCCTTGATCAGAGCCTGGAGACTGCTTCAGATTCTGTGTCTCCTTCTCTCTCTGCCCCTCCCCCGCTCACGCTTTGTCTCACTCTGTTTCTCAAAAATAAATAAAAGTAAAAAAAAAAATTTTTTTAATAAAAAAAAAAAGGAAGACTCACATTTATGGTCAATTCAACAAGGATGCCAGAAAAATGCAATAAAGAAAAGACAGTCTTCTATAAGTGGAGCTAGGACAACTGGATATTCAATTCAAGAGAAGAAAGTTTGATGCTATCTCACACCATATACAACTTAACTCCAGGTAAAACAAAGACCTAAATGTAAAGATTAAAACTATAAAAACCATTCAAAGAAAACACTGGAGCAAATGTTTAGACAGTGGTTTCCTAGATATGATACTAAAAGCAAAAGCAACCAAAGAAAAAACTAGATAAGTTGGACTTCTTCAAAATTAAAAACTTTTCGGTTTCAAAGTACACAATAGGGGCACCTGGATGGCTAAGTCGGTTGAACATCTCCTGATTTCAACTCAGGTCATGATCCCAGGGCTGTGGGATCAAGCCCCGCATCAGGCTCCACACTGAGCGTGCAGCCTGCTTAGGAGTGTGTGTGTGTGTGTCTCTCTCTCTTTTTCTCTCTCTCCACCTCCCCCACCCTAAGGCCCTCTCCCCTACTCTCTCTCTCTTTTTAAAAATAAATCTTTAAAGTACACAATAAAAAAAGTAGAAAAAACTCACAGAACTGGGGGGGAGGGATGCAAATCATTTACCCTTAAGAGATTTGTATCCAGGATATATAAAAACTTCCCACAACTCTAAAATAAAAACACAATTTTAAAATGGGAAAAGGACATGAATGAACATTTCTCCAAAGAATATACATAAATGGCCAATAAGCACATGAAAAAATGCTCAACATCAAGAAAAGGCAAATCAAAACCACATAAAATACTACTTCGTACCCACAATTCCACTTACAATAACATCAAAAAGAATCACAAAGACAGATGTGCTGGCAAGGATATGAAGAAATTAGAACCCTTATACACTGCTGGTGGGAATGTACAATGGTAATGCCACTTTGGAAAACATCGGGCAGCCCCTCAAAAACTTAAACATAAAATTACCATTTGACCCAACAATTCCACTTCTAGGTATATACCCAAGAGAAATGAATTGTCTACACAAAACTTGAGCCCAAATATTCTTAACAGCTTATTCAATACTCATACTCCAGCATTTTTGCAAACTCAAATATCCACCAACTGATAAAGTGGATAAGTAAACATGGTATATCTATACAATGGAGTATTAATCAGCAATAAAAAGTAATGAAATACTGATACATGGCAAAATGTACATAAACCTAAAAAACAATGCTAAGTGAAAGAAGCCAGTCACAAATGATCACATATTGGATGATCCAATTTATATGAAATGTCCAGAATAAGCAAATCCAAAAAGAAGATCAGTGGTTGCCAGGGGTTAGGAAAGGGGGAATGGGGGGTGACAGCTAATAGATCCTGCATTTCTTTTGGGGGTGATTCAGATGAACTAAAATTAGACAGGGTGACGACTGCAGAACTTTATGAATATACTAAAAACCAGTGAATTGTATACTATAAAATGGTGAATTCTTTGGTATATGAATTACATCTTTAAAAAGATATCATAAAGAAAAAAAAATAAAAGTTTACATCAACAGGCTACATAGAACATAAAAGCCTGGAATCAGAAGCCAGTCATGTATTTGAAATCTAAAAGAAAAAGACTGCCTTATTTTTCTAATACTGTGAATACAGTTTTTAAAAATATATACCATTAGTCTTGTTATGTCAAGACAATATCATACATAATCTCCCACCACAAATATGGGAACAAAATCTAACAATAAAAAAAAATCTTACAATTAAAAAAAAAAAATCATGGGGACAAAGTCCCAAAAGATTTCATTAAAAAAAAAAAGAAGAAGAAAAGAAAAAAGAAAAGAAAAGAAAAGAAAAGAAAAGAAAAGAAAAGAAAAAAAAAGACCCAGGGGTGGAAAGATTAGGTTGACACTCCTGAGAGTCACTGCATAAATGAAAGACCTACTCCAAAATAACTAAAGGCCATAAAAATGAACAATTCTACCTCACATTCTAGAAAATTAACTCTGTTCTAAGGTAAGACCAATACTATCTAAGAAATCAGGGCAAATCTGGATCAATCCATAGATCACCAAAAAACTCAAGTCATCTACAAATGTCCCCAGTTTCCTGTATTTCTGCAAGATCCGAGAAAAACTGACCAAAATATTAAATCTTCCTAGTATGTACTTACAACTAGAGCAAAGGGGTCAGGGATTGAAGAAAAGGGCTTTTGTCCTAATGCAGTTAGATAATCTAATTGTCCACAGAATATTAATAGTAAGATCACAGGATGGAAAATAACAAAAAGGTTATATAATTAAATAGATATGAGTAAGTAGATAATAAATGCTTTGAGCACCCAAAAAGAAATGGCCTACAGCAGGCTTCCTGAAGGACATTAAACAAAAGTAAAAACTAGCCAGGAAGGTAGAAAATGACAGTTGGTAAAAATGATGTGAGCAACATATAGGCAATGGGAAAGTGTCAGAGCCACAGAAGAAACATTCAGGAAAAACGGTTTACTGGAGCCAAATATGAAGATACAGCTATGCTATTCATCAGAATCTGAACCTGACTGAAAAACACTGAGAAGCCAGTCAAGCTTTCTGTATAAGAGAAAGTCAAGGTTAGCATATTGGTCAAGGAAACTAATTGACATTCTCATGTTGTATGAAAAGGAAGGGGAGAAGACTGGAATCAGAGAGACTAAACTAGGGGCTATTTTATAACATAGGCTTGAAATACTAACTACGTGGCATGGAAATCATAGAAATGGGAACACAAAAAAAAGGGGGGTGGGGATCAGAACTTTGAAAC